AATAAATAAAAACAAGCTTTACCACAGATTTTGCCACTCTAAAAAAAGTAATGTACTCAAGAAAATCCATGATCATAAATGCTAACAACAAGTTTTCCCCTTTATTCATTCACACTCATAGTTCTCTGAAAACTTAAGAACCCACAGGACAGGACCAAAATTAAGGGGAAAAAAAGTTTTAAGCAATAAATTCACATTTTATATCCAAAGGAATAGCCAGAATAGCCAAAGTATATCAGGTAATTGAAGGGCCAGAGATAAAAGACAAGTAGAAAGAATTACATGAATCAAGGATCCCAAGATATAAACTTTATATACTTACAGGATCAACAAAGTCCATATTGAGTCCATAACAAAGCTTCTGGATTCGAGACGTAATTTTGTCGAACATGACTCGCTCTTGGCGGCCATCTGAAGAACCAAACCATAAGTCATGTTAGAACTTATTACAATGGCAATGTCAAAGAATCAAATGTAATTAATATGTGAACTTCAAAAATTAGCCAACATGAAATGCTATTTCACAAATGAAAGGATTCAAACCACTCAGACGTTCATTGAGATTGCCTTTGCTTTTTGGGGGATCATCTTCAAAAAGCAAATATTCTATTCGGAAAGTCTTTCCTTTCCTTACATTATGCTGATGGATTCTTGCATTAACTTTCCAAATGACGTTCCCCTTTTATCCTATATAGTAGCCAGAATTATCTCCGCCCCCAACCCATACTGGGGATTGAACTCAGGGGTGTTTTACTACTGAGCCACATCCCCAGCTCTTTTTATTTTATTAGTTTATCAACTTGTTTCAGTTTTATATACATATAAAAACACTGTACATATTCATTTATGGGAAACATATTTTTTATACTAGGGATTTAGTTTTACCACTGAGCCACATCCTCAGCCCTTTTTATTTTGAGACAGGGTCTCACTAAATTGCTTAGGTCCTCAATAAGTTGCTGAGGCTTGCTTTGAACTTGTGATCTTCCTGCCTCTGCCTCTTGAGTCACTGGGTTTAAAGGCATGTGCCAGCATGCCCAGCTGTAAAATGAATTTTTTACTGTGGGTTACAATCCAAAGTTTTGAAAACACTACATTAAATTTCAAAGCACAGTTTATAACTCAATTAGCTACTCTGTCATTTATTGCAATGGCTCTCAACTTTTATTTTTTAATCTTAATTTCTCATTAGGGAAAAAAAGCTCCAGATAACATGAGAAAAACTCAACTAATATTCCTTCTGTTATCTAACAATTTTCCTATGGATTATTCCTAAATCTCTTATAACTTCAAGTTTTTGAAGATAAAGCTGTTTCTTCCCTTTATCATTTCCCTCATAGTGTCTGGGCAGACAACAACTGCTAGCTGTCCTCTGAATAATTACATTAAAATTAACAAAAACTATAAGAGTTAGTCTGTGACTTCACTGGCATGCCAAAAATAAGAGAGGTGAAAAAACAAACTGACAAAACCTATGCACACTAAAAAATAGAAAATAGGGCTGAGGGTGTACCTCAGTGGCAGACCACTGGTATTCCCTGCCCAAAGCCTTGAGTTCAATCCACAGGACCACAATAAATAAGTAAATAAACAAATAAATAATAAAACAATCAAATCTAAGTACATTTCAAATATTAAAAACTTTTACTCAGTGGCAGACCGCCTGCCTAGCACAAGTGAGGCACTGGGTTTGATCCCTGGCACCGCATAAAAATAAACAAATAAATAAAGGTATTGTGTCCATCTACAGCTACAAAAAATTGTTTTTTTAAAAAAGGCTTACTGAATTTTAAAATGGCTGAGTCTAGATAGAGCATGGGTCATCCAGATTAAACTGTTCTCTAAGGGAATGAGAAACAAAATAAGTCCCGTCTTTTAAGGTGCTTACTGTAGAATCCCTTGTAAACTATAGTATTTTAAACTAGAGTTAAAAGGTTAAAAATTCAGCCTTTATTAAATATTTATTAAATCATAGTTATTACCCTACTCTGGTCATCTAAGTCCATAAATTCTCAATTTATCTTTGTTACTGACTTATCTTATGACCAAACTCAAATATTTCTTTCTAAAGGTTTAAAAACTATGTTCATCTCTCAACCGCAGGCACAGACCAAAAACAGTGCACTAATGCTGGATGCAGTGGTACACACTGGATAATCCCAGTGACTCAGGAAGCTGAGAAAGAAAGATCACAAGTTTGAGGCCAGCAACTCAGTGATACCCTGTCTTAAAAATAAAAAAGGTCTGGGGTGTGTAGCTCAGAGGTACAGCATGCTTGGGTTAAATTCCCAGTACCACTAACAAATAAATAAGTAAATAAATAAAATAATAATAATTACACTATTGTATTTTGGTGCCTGGTTTCATGAGCCAAAATGGGGGCCTGAAGAAGTTCAAAAACTGATGTATCAAGATACTAAACACAGGAAGACGGGCCACCATTGTCCACCTCTCCATCTCTAGGCTGTAGTTAAAATAATCTGGACACAGGAAAATCAACTGCCTACCCACAGCAATCATTGCATCCTACATTTTTACATATCCCGTTTATTCTGTGAGCACCTATTCATGGCAGGTCCTGTGTTAAATGTGAGCAGTCCCCATCTTTGAAATGCTCACAGCCTAGAAGACAAAACAGAAACACCCAATCAACTAGTATTTAATAAATTCCTACAATTTCTAAATAACTTTGTTATTTTAAAAGGCAAGTAGACTGACCTCAAAAATCTGTTCCTACCTCTCATATGGCTCTCTGTTTTAAGTTATGTGTTGTTTTGTTTTTTCCAATCTTTCCTGAGGCAGAGATTACCTGCTTAGCAAAGAGCTGGGCACAAAGAAGGAATACAGCAAATCTAACAGGAAATAACTGTTGGAAAAGAATGCAAATCCCTCCTGGGTTCTTTCATTCTGTCAGAAGAAGCCTTGGCCCCCTTTCTTTGATCTCCTGTCTCTTCCCTTCATAGGGAAGACAGTCTCTGCCACAAACTCTCCTCTGGGACTGCTACTGGGACACAGGGCAACACAATGTCTCAAAGGACAAACTCTAGAGTGCTGCCTATGTCTGGAGTCTTTTTTTTACCCCACACGTCCACCCTCTTACCACAAAAGTGACAAGGAAAATGACAGGTGCCCGTTTAGAGGTCAAAGTCCATTCTTTCCTCGTTTTCTCCTGTGCTTAGGGCAGGTCACCAACCTCATGTTTTCATTTTCAAGTAAAACTTATCAGGTATGGGTCCGAACCCTGACTTCGCCATGAACTAACTGGGGGACACTGGGTCGGTCATCAAAACCTCTCTGAACTTGAGTTTCTTCATCTGTGTGGAGCCAATGATTGCTATCTCATACGCTATGAGGAAGAACAAAATGCCTATAAAACGCTGACGCACACAGTAACCACTCGATGCCAGGAAGGAGTGATACTTTTGGAAGAAGTTAATGATGACAAAATTGAGGGAGTGCAGACCGAAGCCCAGAAGGAGGACGGAGGAGACAGACGGGAAACAGGCCGTGTTGGATGACAGGGCGGGAAGCCGCGGCGGGAAGGGCGGGAAGCGGCAGCAGCCGGCCGGGCGGCCCGCCGGCGGGAGAGGGTAAGCGCTTGGGCAGCAGCAGCCCACGTCCCCAATCTTCCTCCTCACCCACCCGCGGCCTCCCCGGACCCCTCACTCACCTCGCTTGATCACATGCATTGCAGCTAGTGGCAGGAGTGGTGAGGAATCTGAGACCGGGCGGCAGTTCCAAAACGCCAGCAGGATCGAGACAGTGGCAGAGTGTGAAGGGTTGGCTCCAAGAAGCTGCTCAGGCACCGAGAGTAGAACTTGGGCGCAGACAGCACTTTCCCCACCAGTGCAGAGGCGCAAAAATCCGAACTCCTTCCCGCTCCCGCCACCAATGACGCGCAAAGCAGCGCGACGCAGCTTGTATGACGTCGTCGACACCGCCCACGCCCAGAATCGAATTGGCAGAAATTGACTCCAGGAAGTCAGTTTCGCCCTGCAGCCGCCATGTTGATCATGGGCAACAGGAGACGTTTCCCCTCCCACGGCCACATTAGCGGAGGGAGGCCTGGCGGGAACGCAGTTCTCCCGCCGCCATGTTGAGTGTGGGCAAAGCCGAGTCCGAGGCCCTGGGGTCTGACGTAAACGTAAAGCCCGCCAGACTCGGCCCCACTCCTCTTTCTCCTGAGCCCCGCCTAGTCACGCAGTGTAAGTATTTTTGAAATCTCAACAAAACCCCAACCATCCAGAACACTTTTTTTTATTTCGACTGTTAGGATAGTCCCCCAAACCGCCGTGGGCTGAAGCTTAGCATCCGTGGCCAGACAGCCAGGAGCGTCAAGGGTCTCAGGTCGGCGAGAAGCCGGACTCTCAAGAATTGGAGGAAAGCCATGCTAGGAATTGGGAACCCTGCGAGATTTTTAAGCAAAGCCATGACCCATTTGCTTTTTGAGGTCTCAAGTGGACAGTGGCAAAGAGAGGGCGAGCAATAAAGCAGTTGTTGCCTTGTGAACATCGGATGGCGTTGGGCCTGAACATAGATGGTAAGAAGACCTGAAAGTCTTACTATATACAAGGCTGATATAAAAGCTTCTGTTTTAGGCTACACAAACTCATCTTTATGAAATCTGTCTGTGGCATCCTTCCCCTAAAAGCTTCCACGACCTCTCATTCGTTCCTCACTGCTCTCCAGATGTTGCCCAAGCTCCCCATGAAGTACTTCCAAATCATAGGTCCTCATTGGTGAAGCTATAGGATCATGACAGCCTAGAAATAGGATTGGCAAGGTTTAAGAAATAAAACTATGCCCCAAATATTGCATAGGACATAATTGTTCCAAAAAGTTACTTTTTATCTGAAGTTAAAATTAACTGTTTAGTACATAACTACCCAGATTGCTTTCAGGTATGTGCTTTTGCGTTTCATTTTCCCAGGGTAAAATAATCTCTTCATCTCTTGTCTGTTAAACCACAAAGATACAATGAGAGTCAAAACCAACAGAGGTTAAAATCTCCTACATGCTTTATTGGACTTCAAAGAGTCTTATGAAATAACACAGAAAAACCCATGTGAGGGTGTCCAGGGGATACAAGGCAGTCTGGAGCCTAGCACCCTCCTAAGACCAGCCCTAGGTGCACCCACCCCAGGCCCAAAATAGGATCCCAGGATAAAGGCATGGCAGAATGGGGCATAGGGGAAAAATACTTTTACAGCCATAGCAAAAACAGGTAAAAGAGAGAGTTGTCTAGAAGATGGAAAGGTTGGGGGGAAGTGATCACACAACAGCCTTCACATATACCATCTCCCTTTGCCATCCCTTCCCCAAATTGGTTGTGTCCATTTTGGCCCAGGCTATGCAGTAATATGAAAATGGGGTCTAAGTGGGAGTATGCTGTGCAGGCACTTGGGAAATTCAGGAGATTTGTTTTAAACTGTTTTGTCTTTTTGGTTCAAATACAGCAACATCCTTGTCCAGCAGCTCCAGGGCTCCACAAGAACCCTCTGTTACAACTGTGGTTCCCATAGCCAGGGAAGCCAATTGTTTTAAGCCCAAGGAGTATACTTGGGGATGCTTTGAGGCAGCACCTCTTAGAGACGAACACTCCTACAGTATGGGGGAGCAGGGTAAAGGGAGGCAGATGTGGATGCAACGAGAGAAAAGGTGACTGCCTTATAGCCCATGGCTCTGGCATTCAGTCTTCCTCCAACTAAGAGAGGTCTCTCCCAGTCCATCCCTAGCCTGGCCTCTCTTCAAAACTCTGGTGACTTGTTCTCTGGGAATTGGTTCACTCCCCTATGGATCCCTAGAGACCTGAGTGAGCTCCAGCATGAGGTTCTCTTCAGCCCACCATACTCCCAAAGAACAAATGTCACATATTAGGCCCTTGGCCCCAGTCAGGGGCCAACAGAACCACTATACATGGGTAAAGAGATATGAGGCACGAGTGTCAGAAGTTATTCCTCCTGTTTTCCCCACAACTGCTAGGGGAAGTTGGGATATGGTGGGAGGGAGGAGCCTGAAAGCAGGAGACAGAGAAACAAAAAACCAAACCTCAAAAATGGGACAGCAGACAGAAGCTGGACCCCAGAGGAGCTGGGAGCTGAAGGAACAGCAACTAAGACATGCACTGAAGTGGAGAGGGAGTGACAGCAGCAGCCCACGGTTGGGAGGGAAGCAGGGCAGGCAGGCTTCGGTGGTCAGTTAATAAATAATGATGAAGGACCGAGGATGGAGGCAGCAGGTATGTACAGTACCCAGGCCCCTGGGCCAGACCTTCAATGCCCCAATCTAGGGGCCAGATATTTCGAAGGAAGGGAAGGCAGAAGACCCAGGGAAGGACAAGCTGTCTCACAACTGCCACCCCCATCCTGCCTATTTCTTAAGAGGCTTCTTAAAAATTTTTAGGGGAAACTTCTTCCTGCCTGGACTGGAGTCTGTCTCCTCACCAATAGAACCATTATCCTCCTCAGCCACAGCCTTCTTGCCAGCCAAGTGGGGAATGCGTGTGTTTCGGCTGGCCTGCAGGACTCGGCTGTCCCCAACTGGAGATGGTGTGTCTGGGTCTGGGGAACTCGGGCCATGAGAACTGGAAGAATCCAAAGGTGGGGAGCCACCAGATGGGGCTGAGGGGCTCAGCTCCATCAGGCTATGGGCCTTGTCCAGCCCATGGTTCAGCGCCAGTAATGCCTTCTTGGCCAGGGCAGGGCTGTCAGGCAGTTTCTCCACCAGGCATCCTGGGTGAACCCCCTCAATCAGCCGGTGGCTACCATTGGAAGTCATCACATTGACAGCCTCATCTGCAGCACGGCCCATTTGAGGAGGCTTGGGGGCCATACGCTGGCGGTCACTCGTGTGGAGGGAGGACTCCGAATCGGAATGGGTCAAATCCCTGCAAGAAATGGGACGAGAGGAAGAAAAGGACATATATAGGATAGGGAGATGGGAAAAAGTGAAGAAGAGAAAGGGACAACATAAGAAGACAAGAACAGGGTAGGAAAATGGAGGCAGGAGAGAGAAATAGGATGAATAGGCAGATGGAAGGAGAGGAATGAGTAATGGAAGTTGAATAAGCCATTAGTACAGGATACAAAGGAGGCAGAAATAGGGAATGGAGTAGATTGAAGAAGAGACAGGAAAATATGAGAATTGTAAAGGAAGAAAAGCAAAAAGAGAAGCAGGTAGAAATAAGAACCACCAGGAGGAGAAAGAAAGGAAAAAGTGATGGGAAGAGAAGAGGTGGACAAAACAAAAACAAATGTCATTATACCATCATCTGTCAGGCAAAGGGCTTTTAAATACCTGAGCCCCATCCCTGCTGAATTCAAAGGTCCAAACTGTTGCACCCATAGGCTTAAACCCCACAGGTAACCTCCTCTGGATGCCATAGCTAGCTAATGTTCTTCCCTCTATCCCAAGTATTGGGGATTGAACCCAAGGGTGCTCTACCACTGAACTACATCCCCAGCTCTTTTTATTTCTTGAGATAAGGTCTCACTAAGTTACTGAAGCTGGCCTCCTGCCTCAGCCTCCTGAGTCATTGGGATTACAGGCATGTGCCACTTCACCCAGCCTTGGCTAGGTTTCTTAGGACTCAGTCCTCTACTAACATAGAACCTACATGTTGTTCTGAGTCACCACTTTTCATGCCTTCCTCCCCCACTTACTCCTGCCACGCCCTGGAATACATCCAGTTTGGGCCAGGCCCCAAGGAACACAGCACATGCAGTCAATGGTCCTGACCCAGGCTAGGGAGGAGAAGTTAGAAAAGCCTTGCAAACAATCCTTCACCCACACCAAAAGGCCAAGTTGCTGTCTCTTCCTACCTTCTCACAGGATATAAAGGAGATCACAGAGAAGTGTTATAGAGTTCAACACCAAGTGCATGGTGGAGCAGGAAGGGTGGGGTCTGTTTCAGAGCTCTGCTGACAGGGAGAATATAGAGAGGCATAGAAAAGACAGTATGTTGGCCTTTAAGGAGCAGGAGTTCAGAAGAGCTCTGGACTCCTCTGTGTGATCTTGGACAAGTCATCTAACCTTGCTGGTCCTCACTTTTGGCCCAATGAAGAAAATACCAGTTTAATCATCTAAAAATATTGTTTGGAGGATGAAAAACACTGGAAAAACACTTGAAAATATATAAAGTACTGTGGGAATGAAGATGATGAGGCCAGTCAAGCTGGGAGGTCCATATGGGGGCCAGTCACAAGAGGCTTTCTTTGCAAGGCTGAGTTATGTGAACATGCCACTGCACAATGGACATGCACACACAGAGTCTAGTCCAGGAGCTTGAGACCCTTTAAGGGGCTGGCTGTTTCAAGGCAGAATATAAACCAATTCCAGATGCCACTGCATCTGCCTCTATAGACAAAAGGGTAGATATGGGGATTCCCTACCAATTCTGAACCCAGTTTCTGCTTTCCGAGAGGCAAAGGAGAGGAGAGGAATCCATCTGAGTGGGAGAGGAGAGCATCATAGGACCCCAAAAGGAGAAGGCCAATAGTTACAAGTTAGGGAGGGTACCAGGTCCCTTTAGTAGATAAACAGGGGGTTAACTCATAGCTATCATAGGTTTAGTTATCAAGGAATCAAGCAGCAACCCCATGGACTAGTAGTATCTTCCAGACTCAAGGGACAGCAGAAAATTATTCCATTTCTAGCTTTTATGCTACAAATACTGTTTTAGCCACATAATCTAGTATTCACAAATATTTAGTCTCTCATTTGATTTTATATATCTGACACTGGTCCTTGCTTCTATCTAAATGTGTCCTTGTTTTGCTAAGCCCCCAAATGATCTTCTCCCTACCCTGCCTTCTCCATACATATATAATCCATTGGGAAAGTGCTAAAGAAATTCTAAGGAGCAACCACACTGACTAGAGATCTTCTAAGCTGAGAAGGTAATGTCCTAAGAGCCTAGTTTTCTAACACCAAAGAAAAAAGGTCAAAAGGTTGGGGGTCTCCCAGTCTCATCACTTCTGGCTCATAGTCCCATTTTGTCTTGATTCCCACCCTTCTATGCTTCTAAAAGCTAAGACTGCCAAATAAATATAAAGCCCACTGAGGGAGGCTCACTTTCCCTTCCTCAATCTTTGAAACCCTTCAGGCCAGGATGACCCTCCCCAAAGGCTAGACTGCCTTGGACTCCCATCCCATGTTACTAACCTTACTAGAGAGCCTGTTTGCCTTTAGAGATGATCCTCTGGTGCATGGTGCAAAAGAAAATTAAGTAGTGAACAGGCCAGGTGGATGCAGGTAGCTCTCCCACCCCTTCATCCCCAATGCCCTCAGCTTAGGCCTTGGTGCATGAGATTCACAGCATCCCCTAGCTTCCCCAACCCAATTCAGTCCTCTCCATCTGTATTAGAGTTGTTTCCCTTTCTAGGCTTCTGGATGAAAATGAGGATGAAAGTGAAGATAGGCAGCTCTTTGTGACAAAAAAAAAAGGAAGATCCCTCATAGATAACTTTCCAGAGTCTTAAGGGTTAGAGCTAGAGAGATGAGTATCCAGAGTGAGGTAGGACCAAAAGAAAGCAACAAACATCCAGGACTAGGCCAAAATCACTTCAGGAATATGAGATATTTCCAAATAGCAAGACTTTCTCAGGGTCCCCTAAGCTTCTTCCAGGAAGTCAAGGCTATACTACTTCTGACCTTAGCCTGGTATTCTTGAAGTATTAGCAGGGAAAGTTCCTGCAGATGCCAGACCAGGCTGCAGGAGAAAGTTTTTCATCAATTCCTTTCCTGTTCATTATTGAGACCGCAGAGAAGATAAATGTATCCAACAGAGTCTCCTGAAATGGAAAGCCAAGTTCTAGTCTATGCTCTGCTCCCAATTAGCTGTGGGACCTGGGGAACATTACCTTTCAGAACCTTCACTTTCTGCTCTGAAAAATGAGTATTTTAATACCTATCCAACTTTTGTCCAAAACCTCCAAACATATTCAAGACTCATTCAATCACTGAAGCTGAAACAAAGTGTCATGCTACATTCCTCTCTTTCCTTTACCTCTCTAGTCAGTTACCAAATTATTTGTTTCTTTTCATCCCAAGATCCTGATTACCTCCCCTAGTGGTCTACTACAATGACTTCTGAATTCTTCCTTTTCTTCCTACATACAAACCACTAAAAATGTTATTTCTAAAAGCAAATCTGATCAATTCTCTTTCTTTTAAAACTCTTTTTGCCATTCTCTATCTCCTAAAGGGTAAAAGCCAAAATCCATAGCTTTTCTGAGATTTTCATCGTTCTAGCCTCTGCGTATAATGTTTCCTCTGCCTAGAATACTTTCTCTTCCCTGTAAACAGGGTGTTAGCACAAATGTCATCTCCTTTGTGAAGCGTTCCCCCAAGGTACACACTGTTAGTCACTCCTCCTTCCTCAACACCCCCATAGCACTTATCAGACTGTTCCATAATTATTCATGGATCAGACTGTAGTTCATGATGACTGGAATTGTATCTTATCATCTAAAAATGAATCCCCATGTCCAGAAGAACCTGGCACAGAGTAGACATCGATATATGCTTATTGAAGGAGTAAAGGAAGCAGGGGCCCCACTGAGAATTATAATGCATGTAGACGAACATAGTTTAGGCAAAAGTGCTATAGGATCATGGGGAAGAATCAGCAAACCCCACACAGAGAAGGGAAGAAAGGTGTAGGAAATTTCTGATCTTAAAAGGGAGCCCCACAGCTGGGAAAGAACAGGACAAGGAGAAAATTCCCCACTGCACACATCCCCAAAGTTGACCAAGCAGCAGCCAACAGGCAAAGGCCAAGGTAAAAGCAGCAGGAAGGGAAGGAAGAAAGAGAAGAGAGACAGCTGATACCCCAAGCTCTCTGAATGCCCAGGCATCACAGCGGTGCTGTCAGAAGGGGGTGGGTCAGGGTAGGGATCCATCTGGAGGAAATCGGAAGTGCTGTGGGGATAATAAATAGGGTGGACATGGACGGTGGTGATGGTGGTGGTAGTGGAAGAGGAACAGGAAGAAGAAGCAGAGGCAGATGGTGGGCTGGTCCCGAGGCCTTCAGAACTGAAAGACTGTCCAGATGAAAGGCTGCGCATTCGCCGCAGAGAGACCCGGCTCGTCAAGAAGTGGCCAGCCTCGCCCTCTACCAACCTCTGAGATCCCAGGCCATGCTGTGGTTCCGTCAGGCGCTGCCGGACACTGCTCTGCAGGCTGGGGGCTGCAAGGAGAGTGGAGAAAGTGTGAGAAAGGGCCAATTCCCTTTGGGCAGCAGGCAAGCAGGTGGCCATATAGAAATGCCTGCTGGAGATCACTCTGGGTCTTTGATGCCCAATCTAAAGAATGGGGTACCACCTCCCAAAAACCTCCCACCAGGGGTCCTAAAAGGATGGGAAATTGAAGATGAAGTGCCCAGGTCAGTTTTAGTGGGAACTCCAATGGAAGGAGACCTAAGACCAATGTCACTATAAAGGGAGGTGGTAAGGCAGTTAGTGGGAGGACATAGGCAGGGAAGGGTAGAACAGGAATTTGGAGCAAGGTCCGGGAGAGCACTAAGAACCAGCCTTTTCAGAATGCCAACTTCAGGAAATAACTTGTAACTTAGACAAGGACTTACACACAAACATTTTCACCAGATCACTATTAATAATTGTACGAAAGTAAACATAAAGGTAGGACAATGGGAAAACAAGAATACATATACTATAGGGATATTAAAAGTGAGACTCATGCCAGGTGTGGTGGCGCACGCCTGTAATCCCAGTGGCTCAAGAGGCTGAGACAGGAGGATTTGCAAGTTCAAAGCCAGCCTCAGCAAAAAGCAAGGTGCTCAGCAACTCAGTGAGATCCTGTCTCTAAATAAAACACAAAAAGGGCTGTGTATGTGGTTAAGTGGTTAAGTAGGTTCAATCCTCAATCCCTGGTACCAAAAAAAAAAAAAAAGTGAGATTTTAAAAACAGAAAAATACCTGTTGAAATGCTCAGGGGAAGAAAAAGGATTAAAAAAAAATAATAAGCATATGTAGCCAGGCATGGTGGCACATGCCTGTAATCTCAGCAACTCAAGAGCCTGAGATAGGAAGATCACAGGTTCAAAACCAGCCTCAGCAACTTAGCAAGGCTGTAAGCAACCTAGTGTGAGACCTAGACTTAAAAATAGACAACGTAAAAAAAAAAAAAAGAGTGGCTCAGTAGTTAAGTGCCCTTGGATCTAATCCCTGGTACCAAAAAAAAAAAGAAAGAAAAAAGTATATTTAATAACACTGAACTTTGGTTTTAAAACACTAGAGTTTGAGACCAGACCTTTCCACTTCTAGCTTGATCTTATAAAAGTTACATCTCATTTCAATTCATAATTTGTAAAAGTCTGCAGTGTTGTTCTGATACTTCAAAGTAATATCTTTAAATACCTATCATAGATCATAGCACTCAATAAATGGTTGTGGTTATCATTACCTTCACTGTTTTAAAATTTTCACAGATAAAAGACTAAAAAAACAAGTGCTCAGCTATGGTGAGACTATGAATGCCTTTTCGATACTACTATTTACCCTTTTTTACTCTACATATTTCTCTAATATGCATGTAAACAACCATGATCCATCTCTTGGATCAATTCTGCTAATCAGGCTCTTGGAAGATGAAAACCACCATGCCCAGTGAAGGGGTAGCTGGACACCAGTAACTTACGAATGTGCCAGAGCATCCAGCTTTGGCTCAATCCCAGCTCAAACTGAAAAATAAATGTAGACCTTTGTCTCTTTTCCTTCACCCTGAGAGATTAGCTGCCCTGATTTCTCCTGAAGATGTGAGAAAGGCCCAGGTTAAAAGGGTGGCAGAAGCCTTGGAAGGGACTCTAGGAAAAAGCACAGTTACATAGTGATAGAGAGTTGGAAGGCAGGGCTTCTGTGGCTGGTGGCCTTCAAGGCATTAGAAAGAGGCTGAAGAGAAAAAGGAAGCCCATAATATGAAGGGGAAGAAGAAGGAAGAAGGTAGAAACAGGAAGGAGGTGAGAAACCTGAAAAAGAAAAAAGAAAGGCCTGGTTTTTCCTTCCTTCTTTCCCTCCCAGCCCAGCTGGAAGAAAGGCAACTAAGACACCTGTGTCACTGGGCTGAAGGGAGAGCCAAAGATTTTCATCACTATGAATATTCTCTCTCCAGCTCTTGGCTGAGCAGGCTGATTCTTCTCACCCCCGAACCCCTCCCTGCAGTTAGTAAGGATGGTGCTGAGGGGACAAAGGGAGCAAGCAGGGATGTGAGGCAGGCAGGAAAGGGGGTCCATGGGGGTAGGAGTGTTGGTTTAGTCCCAAAAGTTGGAAAAAACAAAAGCCCCAAAGGGGCTCCTCAAACCGGGGTATTTCCAGAGGGACTGATCATCCGAGCCGGCGGATGTAGAGCAGAGAGAGCGGTCACTGAACCTACGCCCCATCAGCCAGGCAGCATCTAGGGTCAACACCCAGGCCAAAAGGAGAAGAGAATCTGATTTATGGAGGGCTTCAGCCTGCCCATCAATGAGAGATGGGAAAAGCTGGGGACAGGGCATGGATTAATCGCTCAGAGCTAATTAAGGTCCCTTTCAACCTGTAGAACATAGGAACATGTAAACTGTCAAGGCAGGATCCAGCTCTACCTGTCTATGATCCAAATCTTCGTAGCCCTTTCACTAAAATCCTAATGAGATACCAGATCAGGGAGACAAAGAGACTTGGCTAGGGGCAAAGTATCACTGCGAAATTTACAAATAAATTTTGTTTAGAGTGAGGATCCAGCCCAAGGAAAGGATCTAGCCTTCTGAAAGTGAGTCCCTAAACAAGCCATGGCTTTCTGCCATTCCCCCTGAACTGGTGCCACAATAGCTTTACCATAAGGCCTATTATGTTTAACTAAAATAACCTCTCATCCAAAAGGAAAATTCAGTGGTGGGTCAATAAAGGAAAAGTCCCATCATTTACTAAGAAATTCACCTAGAATGTTGTTCCTTTTGCCGTGGCTCTACTCACTCTCATCACTTGCAAGGGAGAGGGAAGGCCCAGGACAGAGAATGGGGAGGTTCAAGAGCTCAGATGGAAAGCAAGACATGCTTGTGTAGGAGGTCCCTCCTGGGCAAAAATGTCTTCCCAGCTGGGAGACTTTAAAGGTATATCACTTTAAGGGACTGTTGCTTAATGGGGCCTCCCACAAAAAGGCAAAGAGAAGAGAAACATCATTCCATTCATCTGTTTTAGCAATTACAAATAAGGAAAATAAATAAATGCAATGAAATGAATGCCATTTTTCATAGTGAATCAAAATCCCTAAAGAAAATTATTTTTATAAAAGTAGATAGCTGGGGAGAGGAGGGAGGATAAATAGGAAAACAAAGAATGAAGAGAAACACATTTAACACAATCAGCCCAGGACAAACAGGGCAAATAGCAAGGAAAAACCATCAAAAGGACAACTATTAAAAAAAAAAAAACCCTGGGCTGGGGATGTGGCTCAAGCGGTAGCGCGCTCGCCTGCCATGCGTGTGGCTCGGGTTCGCACCACATACAAACAAAGATGTTGTGTCCGCCGAAAACTAAAAAAAAATATTAAAATTCTCTAAAAAAAAAAAAATTTAAAAAAAAACCCTGGTGTGAATTGTGCTTTATTAACCAAGGTCATGAGGTGAAGTGTTTCCCTGGTTATCCATCCCATGTGCTATTTAAGCCCAGCAGAGGCCATGGACTTTTCAGCGTGTATCAAAGATTCCTTTCCTCAAACTCCACCAATGAGGTCACCTACACTGCATGGACAACGGTGACACAATTTCCTCATCCATGTCATCCACGTCGTCGGTCATGATGAAGTGGGTGGGGTTTGGGCGTGTACTGCCCATCCAGCTGGGATCTATATTGAGGGCAGCTACCAGTGAGTGCATGCCAGGGTTATTAACAATCTGGAAACCACAGAGGATCTCGATCTGTTGCCAGCGGTGCAGGCGCTCCCTCAGTGCTGCTGTCACCTCGCTCAGGGCTTGCCTGAAGACAAATAAAAGACAACTATAGTCATGGACTGGATGGGAGTCCAAAAAGAATGAGGCCTCTTTTCAGAGAAACAAGCTGGAGGTATGTGTGTGAATTATAAACCCAATAAACTTATAAACAAGGTGGGAGCTGAATCAGGCCTAGGGTGGGAGAGCAGAACTGTCACTCCCCCATAAGGAAATGGATTAGAAGCTCTATATGCCCTCAAATTCTAAAGGTAGTATGGACATTGCCAGAGTTGATAACTGGTGCTACTTACTTAGCTGTTAGGATTTTATGATCCACATCATCCAGGGAAGAGCTGTGGGCCACATGGAAGGTACCAAAGAGTGTGTTTCTCTTCTTTTTTATCTTCTCAGCCTGCAAAGATGAGGCCCCCAGCTTAAAGAGAGCAGGATTAGAGGTTGAAAGAAATGAGAAAGGGCTTCCTGTGACTGGGTTCCCTTTCTCTTAACACATCTTGGGCTACCCAAGGAAGAGAAAGATGGGAAGGGAAAATGAAGGCAGTGGGAGGGAATAAAGGAAAAGAGGAAAGAAGCAAAAGGATTCCCTGTCAGGAAGGAGAACCTCTGTCCAAACAACAGCCTGGGCCTGGGAGACCTTTCCCTCTACCTGCTTCCACTTGCTTCATCTTTCCCAGAAGGCAGGAGGGTGTACCCATACACCCTTATTCCCTCCTCCAGAAGCTTAGGACATTATCAGGAGCTGTACATCAGGAAAAGAAATAGAACCCACCACAGGATATCTCTTTGCCCAAAGGGAGGTATAAGATGAGGCAAAGAAGAGAAAGAGGGCTGGGAAAACAGAGAAGGGTGGGGAGGTAAGAAGGGGGCAGAAGGAGGACCACAGAAGGGCAGGTCTTACCCCCTCCTTAGCCACCAGCAGCTGCTTCTCAGCATTTTGCTTCTTGATGTTGTAGTACTGCACCTCCACCTCATGTGTCAGCTGTAGCCACTTCTGAAGGGCCTCTGGAGCATACCATGAGCTGTGTGATTCCAGCTCCTTCTCTGCTTTTCTCAAGGCCTCCCGAACCTATACAAACAAGAGAATGTGAGGGTTTTTTTTTTTTTTTTTACTGATTCTTTGTTTACTGATACCCTTTCCAACACCTCTCTATGATGCTTCAGAATTCCGAGCTTTTATCTGCCTTACAACTTGCTCAGGAAGGAGAAAGGGCAAGCATTGTTCTTCAATTTCATGTATAAGGAAATAAGCTCAGAGAAGGAAAGTAACCTACTCAAGATCACACAGTCAATAGGGTCAACCAGAATTCAAAGAGATATTTTTTGCTCCCATTCTAGGGTACTCTTCTATCACATCAGCTGACACTCCTCATCATGTATCTTCCCTAATCTCTTCAGGAACAGGTCACTTGGGGCATCACCTTACTAAGAGTTAGGATCTATGCTTGGGCCTCAAAATAGCACAACGTGGCAGGAAAGTACTTGGTTAGGAAATTGTGTCATTTGCAGAAAATGGGTGAACCTAGAGACCATCAGACTCAGAAAGTCAGACTCAAGACAAGTACTATCTGTTTTCTCTCATATCTGGAAGTTGTGGGGTAGGGCAGGAAGAGGATGTCATGAATGTAGAAGAGAGACCATCAGTGTAGAGGAAGGTAAGGAGAGGTACTGGGGAGTAAAATCAATCATTTTATGTTATATGCATATACAAATATGCCTCAGTGGAAGCCACTCTTCTATATAATTAATATGCACCAATAAAAAAGGGGGGAAAAAGTATTCAGTTGGGAATCTGAAATCTAGTTCTGGTCCCTGGTCTGTCACTTGATGGCTGTGTGACCTTGTGTTTTCTTAGAAGATCTTAATTTATGGGAGTAGAACCTTTCTTCCATACAAATCCAAACCATCTGTAAAGGGGTGATTTCAGAAGAGAGTGGGCTATTTTTTGTGGAAGATATGTAAACAAATCATGTCAGATGATTCCTAACCCAGGAGTACATTAGCCTTAAAGCTCTCCAAAGTCATTTCAAGCCTACATCCGAAGTCTATGATCTCTCTGTAAACAGGGCAGGTAGTCTTTGAAAAGTACTCTGAGATGGAAAGAAAATGAGTTTTCCCATACCTAACTTAGGTAATGCCAACAGAGGTCCAGAAATGAAGGAACCAATGTATAAGTAGAAATCTCCTCACTGACTTTCTCTATAAGGGGCACACAATAAGGCAGATTGACACAAAGCACACAAGTGTGAAAGGCCTGAAAGTATACACACACATTACATACACTGGATTCCTTACTATCTCACTCAGGCTACCAGTATAAGTGATCCCCAACTCTCCCAGCTGGATGCTAACCTTCAGCTGTTCAGAATCCCAGAGTGCTCAAGATTGAGAACAGTCTCATAATCTCCAACTTCAGCCACTGAGGCCGTGTATCCCACAGCCTAACCCAGGCCAGGAGGGTCTTAGTAAAGGACAGGACACCTTTCTTCCTGTGAGAGCCAGTGAAAGCATCAATCTTCATTTGATTTAGGATCTTGGAAAAAAAAAAAACTGTAAAATGCCCCTCTCCTGGTTTTATGGATTTAAAATGAAGAACAGATATCTTAGAGGCTAATAAACCAAATCTGAAAATTTATGATCAACTTGTACATTTAAAAGAGTTAAAGCGAGGCTGGGGATGTGGCTCAAGCAGTAGCACGCTCGCCTGGCATGCGTGCGGCCTGGGTTCAATCCTCAGCACCACATACAAACAAAGATGTTGTGTCCGCCGAAAACTAAAAAATAAATATTAAAATTCTCTCTCTCTCTCTTTAAATAAATAAATAAATAAAAGAGTTAAAGGAACAGGATAAACTAAGTAGGGAAGAATGGAGGGAGAAGAGAAAAAAAAAGAGAGTAAATATAGGAAAATGTGATCATCCTGGGAGGCTGGCCCACCAGGCTAAAAAACCTGTTTGTTTAATGAGAGAAATAACTATTAAATAGGGAAATGAAGAATATCAGAAGCAGAGAGACAGAGACAGACACACTGTTCAACACATAAGTAACAAATGCCTGAGGAAAAGAAGACAATAGATGGGCAAGTCAGAGTGCACAAGTCCTATTCTTTTATTCTATACCTATGGTTTTTAATATTGTCACACACTTTAATCACATGGGGAAACTTTTAAAATACAGATACCTGTCCCCTAACTTAGAAATTCTCATTTAATTATCTGGGCATTGACCTGGGCATTCAAAACTGTTTAAAAACTCCCCAGGTCATTTTAATATGGCAGCCCAAGTTCATAACTACTAAAGTATATATTTTAAATATTATCACCAGACTTCCACTGCCACAGGGCTTTATTACTACCATTCATAGGACTTCTCCATTTCTCATAGTAGAAGAATAGATTAATGCAACAGGTCATGGTAGAAGAATAATTCTGAACCAACATCTGGAAAAAAGGTGCATAAATTATGAAAATCGGATTTTTTAAAATATCTGAGAGCCGAAGAAGTGATTAAGAGTAGGTCCACAGTTCCCTAAGTATAATCCAGGGACCTCCAAGTGTCCCTAGCACCTTTCAGAGAATTCATGAGATCAACACTGTTTTCATAATAATATTAACACATTATCTTTTTCACTCGTCGTCTTTCACAACTGAACTGCAGAGTTCTCCAGGGGCTATATAATGTTTGAAATCACAGACTGAATACAGACACTAATGTAAGAATCTAACAGTCTATTAAGCCAGACATTTAAATGATTTGCAAATTTGTAAAGAGTCATTTTTCATTGTTTTTTTTTAATTTAGTCTTTTCAGAAAATATGTTATTTGTGTTAAAAGGCAAGGGGTTTAGTATAGTTCTTTTAAAGGAATTAATTTTTAAAAATTTTCTCATTTTTAATTTCTAACAGGGTATAAATATCAACAATCCTGCCCCCCCAAAAAATGTTCTTTTAAGTTCCAAATGATTTTAAGAGTAAAGTGGTCCTAAGACCAAAATGTTTAAGAACCACCAGATTAGATTAACAAAATCCAGAAAGGAAAAAAAAAAAGCCTTTTTAAGGTGAATTAACAATTGCACATCAATATCTTCCCTGGAGGCATCTGATGATTCTAGATGAGGGCTGAGAATCAGACTTGGGCCATACAGAAGAATACCACTGGGGCACAGAGAAATAAACCTTTTGTGAGAACTGAATCTCTTATAGACTTTCAAGGCTAAGGTGAAAAAAATCTACTAGCTCTCAATAAAAATTCAGGACATGACTATGAAACTGAGACAAATCAGAGCTAGACCCAGTCTTGTAAAACTATAACCCAGCTCCAACGCAGCTCCATCTCTGTCAAAGGGTGATCCGTGCCTCACCAAACAAACCTAACAGGAGAAAAGCTGACACCTATACATGATGGAAGGTAAAATCATCTGGATCTTCTATTTTTTATACACATCATCTAGCATTTAATAAGATAAGTTATTACACCTAAGAAGATGAAGAAAAACACAACCAATAATCTGGAGGAAAAATAAGCAGTCACATAAATGATCCAGATGTAAGAGTTTACTAGACAAGTATTTTAAAATAACCATACTGATGTGTTAAAGAAAATATAGGAAAAGATAGTCATAATAGATAGAAGAATGTGAATTTTGGACAGGGAGATAGAAGAGTAAAGAAAAATTGATATTTGAAAGTTTAAACCTACTAAATGGGTTAAACAGCAGAATATAAGATTAAAAAATTCAAAGAAGCCGGTTGTAGTGGTGCACACCTATAATTCCAGCGGCTCAAATGGCTGAGGCCAGAGGATCTGAGTTCAAAGCTATCCTCAGTAATTAGTGAGGTCCTAAGTAACTTAAAAAGACCATGTCTCAAAATGAAACATAAAAAGGGCTGAGGATAAGAACCCCTGGTTCAATCCCTGGTACCAAAAAAAAAAAAAGAAAAGAAAGAATTCAAAGGAGCTGGTCATGATGGTGGGCCTGTAATCTAAGATATTCAGGAGGGCAGAAGGATTGCAAGTTGAAGGCTAGCCCCAGCAATTTAGTGAAAGCCTGTCTTAAAATATACAATAAAAAAGGCTGGGGATGCAGCTCAGTAATGAGGGACCCCTAGGCTCAGTACCCAGTACACAAAATAAAAATTAACAAAGTAAAAAATAAAGAAAGAACTCAGATACCTAGCACCACAAAAACAGGGGAAAAAAATAAAAGAAAATAAAAAACACTCAGATTGAACAGGGCACAGTGATGCACACCTATAATTTTAGTGACTCGGGTGGGTAAGGCAGGAGGATCACCTCAGTTCCAGGACAACCTCAGCAATTTAGTGAAATCCTGTCTCAAACTAAAAATAGAAAGTACTAGGAATGTAGCTTAATGGTAAAGTGCCCATGTGTTCAATCTCCAGTCATTCTCTCAAATATAGCAAAAGAACAGTGTATTATTGGAATTTGTTTTTTATCCAATATGACAAATTTTAAACAGAAAATAGCCAAATCAAAGCAAAAGAGGAAAAAAAAATAGAACTGAACATAAATTACATGTAAAATACACCTAAAAGACTGAATATAAATACTGAATTCTCAGAAAGGGAGAAAATTGAGCAGAAGCAATATTTTAGGAGATACATAAATCCTCAAAAAATGCTGTTAAATGTTTTATGTTCATTGTTACTAATCATTTTTTCATAAGTACTTGTTGAGAGTTCTTATTGGTTCATTTTAGTTATATATAACATTAGGACTCATTTTAGACATGATTATATAAACATGGAATATATTTGTTCTAATTCAGTTCCCAATACTTCCCCCTTTTCCCTCCCCTCCTCCCTACCCCGTTCCCTTCCCTCTACTGATCTTTCTGCTATTTATTTATAGTTTTTTTAATTAGTGTTTTGTGGATGAACATAATGGTGAGATTCACTCTAATATATACATACATAGGAAGCTTAGATCAGTTAATCATGATTTTTAAACTTCCATACCCTTACTGATGTTTTAGCTGTTCATTATCAAAAGTGCTACATTTAAATCTCTAACTTTAACTATGAATTTGACTATTACTCTACTAGTGCAT